GAACACGTAACGTCTCGTGACCTAGAGATATCACGTGACGTTCCGCGACCTAGAGAGATCTCGTAACGTGTCGTGACCTAGAGAGGTCACGTGACGTTCCGTGATCTAGAGAGATCACGTAACGTGTCGTGACCTAGAGAGATCACGTAACGTGTCGTGACCTAGAGAGATCACGTAACGTGTCGTGACCTAGAGAGATCCCGTAACGTGTCGTGACCTAGAGAGATCACGTAACGTGCCGTGACCTAGAGAGATCACGTAACGTATCGTGACATAGATAGATCATGTAACGTATCGTGACATAGATAGATCACGTAACGTGTCGTGACATAGATAGATCATGTAACGTATCGTGACATAGATAGATCACGTAACGTATCGTGACCTAGAGCGATCACGTGACGTGTCGTGACCTCGAGCGATCACGTGACGTGTCGTGACCTAGAGCGATCACGTGACGTGTCGATGACTTAGAGGCGATCACGTGACGTGTCGTGACCTAGAGCGATCACGTGACGTGTCGTGACCTAGAGCGATCACGTGACGTGTCGTGACCTAGAGCGATCACGTGACGTTGCGTGACCTAGAATGATAATGTAACGCTACTTGTGTGTTCTGTTCAAGCCTGAATATGATTTGTTTCGTGCCGGTAATAGTGCTGCGCTTTCTCGTTTTCCGGGTAGAAGACGCAATATAGCGAACGCGATAAGACTTCCGGAGTTCCAGGCACTCCAGGTTCTGGAAGCCTAAAGTGGTCACTTGTAGGGGTCTATAATATCATAAATCCCTCTCAACTCGTTAGTGCGTGATGTGGGGCGCTTATCTTAATGACGAAGGCCTATTCTGTTAGAGTAAACCCTATTATATCCCGCAATCCGATACAAATATATACGTACATACCGCTGCCGACTGCGGTCATCAGGCTGCGTTGAGCTCCGCGTTTCGTCTCACGCTTCCACTACAATAACACATCACTTATACATTCGGCTTACGGCCTCGTGCTTGTTTGTTCTCTGGACACGGGATCGACGTTTACGTAGAGGTACTATTGTGAGTGATGCTAACTGCATGAAGCTTTTTGCTAGGCTCGGCACAATCACACGCGTTAGAGTGCCGCTTACGCATAGTCTTCGTATATTATTCTCTGCTTTCTCTATTGACGTGACAATCTACGCAATACGTATAATCGTAATTGCTTATTTATAAATTCAAAGCCATGTTATCGTATTTACCCAGTGGCATTGAAAATACATCTAACGATAAGTTCTGTCTCTGTGGATCGGAATGCTATTTACTGCCATTCAAGCAGATGGTGCATGCGTGTGTGCGCGCGTGATTGATTGCCCTAGTGGGTGTGCGTGCATGAAGAAAGTGAGTGATTTCATACATACTCGAGTCAGTATGGCTAGTCTAAATTACGCTTGCGTTATTATTAATAATAATAATAATATTATTGGGGCTTGGCGGAGGTTATGTTTTCACCGGCGTGTCTTTGAGTGTTGGTTTGTGTGTTTGTGGGTTTGTGTGTTTGTTAACTGATGCACGTTCAGTTCACTCTCGTCCGCTAGGTGCGCTGGCTGTAGACATACAAACGCAACCACAGGCTAAGGGCAACGCACAGTCCTCCCCACCTGCACGCTTGCACTAATCCGGATCCAATTAATTTATTTAAATTAATTAATTAATTAATTTAATTTTTCCACTTAATTAATTAATTAATTAATAACAAATTCACCATTGAAGAATTCAGCTGCCTTGGCGAGGTCTGTGCCTCCCGAGTGCTCTAGTTACTATTATTATTGCTTGATATCATTGGTTACTTCCTAATTTCCAAAGTAAATTGCCACCTATATGCATCCTAAGGTGTCCTTACTAGCGGGCTCTGATTAGTTGTCGCACTCACGTGACACAGCGGGCGAAGGATGTCGTAATATACGCTTCTTCGCATCAAACGCAACCGCTACGCATTTACGGCGCGCGCTGGGATCGTAAATCGACCATGTTCTTCTAGCGCTTGCTTGTTAGTGCTACCCGGCTCGGTTTTAGAGCTGTCGAGGAGTCGCCGGGGATATGAGTCATGGCTGCTTTAGATCTAGCTCTAGGACCATAGCCCTTCGCTCCGCCACAGGTTCCTGTAAATCACAACCAACTCCGTATCTCTCACATACAACATTATACATCGTCACCATAATCTAACCCGATACTATTCCTATCACGGATAGCCGTTCTGCTAAGTAGCACTGGTAGGTTTGACCCATTTGAACATTTCGTGGTTAAATTTACAGTGACAGAGTGACAGACCCAGAGGCTTGACTGTGACAGTTAAATTTTTAAATGATAATTTGTTTAAGCTGCTTTAGATCACGATGGCGCGCGCGGGTCGGAGGCTGCAGCATCGGACTAGTCCAGACTTTAACATATGACACAAGTACATGCACATACGCACCCCGTGGTGGATCGATGCGCGCGTGGGGCTAAGCCGAATACTCAGCCACCCAGACACATTTCCGTCGTATTGACGTTTTCCTTCTCCATGTCGGTCTTGGAGGCGACTCGCCGTCCAAATTCGTTGCGCGATGCTGATATGAAGATATATCCGTGACTGGCGACTAGCGGAAAGGTAGCCGGGAAACGAGCGGCACTCCGAGAAACAGGCAGGCAGACAGACAATGATACAAAGAGACAGACAGGTAGATAGATAGACAGACAGACAGACAGACAGACAGACGGACGGACGGACGGACGGACGGGCAGGCCTTCGGGCGGGTGGACGAACGAACGGGCGGGCGGGCGTTTGGGTGGGCGGACGGACGGACGGACGGACGGACGGAAGTACGGACGGACGGACGGACGGACAGACGGACGGACAGACAGACGGACAGACAGACAGACGGACAGACAGCCAGACAGACAGACAGACAGACAGACAGACAGACAGACAGACAGACAGACAGACCCACAATATCGGTTGCTCAAGCGACACTGCTTGCCGTTTATACAACCATCAGCTATATACGTACGGATTACGGACTTTACGCGCTGAACCCTAACCTATTCAGATGAGACAAAGTGCATGCGCATATACAGATCCACGCCGCACGTTTGATGTGCCATGCATATTTAATACGGCGAAATTTTCACGGTCTGAAATGAAATAATTACAGCCTTTCTGTGGCCGAGTAAACAATTATCGAGGCCGTAAAGGCGGATAAAAATAGTATGGAGCGAGAATTTGCTCGCCCGTAAGCCGTCTCGCGAGGTCTTGCCTAACATCGGATGCTTGCACAACTAATCATATTTTCGGTTGTGTGCGGTGCCTGCAGTGAAGCTAATTAGCTTTCTGCTGCTTCCGTGTGTGAAGCTAAAGTGCTACGACCGTTAATCGGTTACGCAAACGTTCGCTTCTCTCGCCGCTCTGCAGCATGTGCTCCTATTTTACACTTGTGCGCCTGCGTCTTGTTCGTGTTGCCGTGAACTGCGGAGGTTGCCAAAAAGTTACAGCGCAAAAATTTCAATTGTTATTATCTGTTTCAAATGCAGATTTATTCAGTAACGCTAAATTTCATAATATCAGAGATTTTATATACCGACAGGGCATCTGTGTCTTTAGTAATAGCGCTATATTAATGCTTGTGCGCCATGGCACCGTGCGTGGGCATTAGCATTATACCAGAAGCTGGCATGCCATTTCAGACGCTAAAATATTAACGCTGATATATATATACATAATATATTAGTATATATATATGTATATATATATATACATATATAGCACCGCAAGGGTGACTATTAATCGTAGATGCTGTTTCATATCGTAGAAGTTAACGCTGCAGAATAGAGGTTGATATCTATATTGAAAATGGTCTTCACAGGAGGGGTACTCGCTATAGTAACTGATGGCGTGCTACATAACAGAGTCATCTGTGGCCTTATCGTTTTAATCAGTATAATACCGTAGAAGCGCTCGGCCATCTTCCCCGAGTCGCATGACAACTTGGAATGCACCAATCAAAACGTGTGTCAGTTTCACTCAATTACTCGAACACGCTTGATTTATGATTCTCACGATCGTGTGGAGTGTGGTAACGTTACAGCACTACACTGTTTTCTAGCGTGACGTCACGTGGCGCCCCTAACGCTGTTAACAGCAATACGCGGCCAACACGGTATAATTGCGCGAAAGTATACTAGTTCACGTAAACACGATGATATTTCTCAGATAGATAAGATGGCTCGTGGACTAAAACAGTGTCCTTTCCTCCGGTAAAAGAAAATATTTTCTCGGTCATGAAGCAGCAGTAGTTCAGTACGACCATACGCCACCCACTGCTTATTTCGTTCGAGGTCACAGCTGGCTTCTCATGCGGCTAGCTAGCTACAAGGTGCAAGGACAAGTGGCAAGGGTGGGCTCGCATGAGCACTTCGCGTGATTCGCTATCGATTACGTGATAGCAGGCGAAAACGAGCTTGTCTTATTAGTGGAGCAATTTAGGATTACGATGCGTGAAGATGTCTATAATGACCCCCTTAAGTTTAAAATACGGAATCGGCATTATTACGCGTTATAGTTAAGTCAACGCTTTCGCATTTTTGATTATTTTAGGAAATATTTCGCGTGCTTAGTTAATAAGATCATGTTGCAGTAGAATTTTGTTAAAAGATGTACCTTTGATCGACGTATAAATTGTTGACACTTCCTTAATGTCGCACAGCAGTAAATTATTTCTCGTTGCTTTCTGTCATTGAAGTTATAGACACGAACACGCCCGCCTACCTGCACGCACGCCCGCACACACGAACGCACACACGCACAAACATCATATCAATGGTATAGCACACACATAGTTAGGCAAAGACATAATAAATAATAAATAAATGACGTCAATGTATAATATATATTATCGTGTACTATATTTATGATATAAGTATTATGTTATCATATGTATTATTATTTATAATGTAAATACTTCAATGTATAACATATACGTACTGATTTGCAGAATGTCAAGCTGACATGGTGGCCTCTCTTCAGGGACAGCGCCTTCTACTCTGTGTCTGTTATTGTTCTTATCGTGGTAAGTATCCGTAAAGGTAAGGTTAATAAAAAAAATTAATTAATTAAATTTAACTAGCGTTGTGAAGATTCCTCTCAGATAATGGGTTATTCGACGCCGAAAATCGCATTACTTTTATAGCTACGACAAAACACAAACATGTACGCAGATACGCACGCACGCATGCACACACGCACACGCACGCACCTATACAATAAGCGTAACAAACACATATACAAAGATTTTGAGCACTATGAAACAGGATAATTAATACTGTCCAGTCTGTGTATGCAATCACGCATTGATTGATTGAGTCATATCACTAAGATAACTAGGGGCGCTTAATGACAGATATTTCTAGGCCGACGCTCATTTCGTTTTTTTATATATACGTAATTGCGCGATTTCTATATGACGAAGAAGTGTGTATGTACTGACATGGCGTAATACATCGATGTATGGATGTAAGCGGTAAGGCAGTACCGTGTGTCCGTGCGTAATCTCACGAAGCCTCCTGACAGCAATCATCCATGATCAACTCTTGAATGCCGTTACCAGGATTCTAATGATGCATGCATATTTGGTAGCAACTTTAATACGCGCAAGCTTATGACACCACGCGGTGAATTCGAAACGGGTTTCCCTAATGCGTCACACACCAACCTAATTGAACCTATACACGCCAGAAAATTCCGATTTTCAGCTACCGTCTAATAATGTGTAGGTAGTAGCTATGTACTGTCAATCAAGTTAGTGCGATGTGCGCGTCAACAATGTTATATACGGTTGTTGGGCGCGTCCTCATAATCATTTGCGCAGAGATTCTGTCGTTACGTTGTTGCAATCTAAATTGCAATATGCTGTAGGCCGACGTCAGTGTGCTTGCGATCTCATGTTTCGACTCATTTGGTTGTGGGGTGTCTTAGTTTAGGCAGGTGTTCTCATGATTTATCACGGGTGTTGCTCCCAATGTCTCTCGGGCCTCTGCGACGTACAAGAGGGTCCGTCATCAGCTGGTGTCACGACGTATATCAATGCGAATAAATGACGAGATAAAAGCTATAATAATTACCCCGTAATAATTATTGATTAATATTACGATACAACAACAGCGCGCGTTGATAGAAACACATTCGCACTGGAGCAGTTTTCTTAGTTATATCAGACAACGGCAGATGTTGTAAAGTCACAGATTTCATGAGAGGCGATTGCGAACGAATGCGTTTTCGTTCAATGATGGAACATGCGTACAGGTAGGTACATGTCCATATTTAGCTTCCATACTCGTCCTATAGTACCGCTATTGCAACATATATCTTATAATTATATGCTTTGTATCCGTAATATTCAGCTGGCGGCAAAAATACATACCGCGTCTGAGATTTCGTCCATGTGGTCTACGTTTTAAACGGACCATTTTGATTCAGTACATTCATGTCAACTATGTGCATTCTATGTATAATAATGCTCAACATAAGAGGAACTATTGTAGCTATTTCATTGTCAAATAATAGTGATAAAAGTATCTCGAATAATGACAGAGCATACTAGAGCATATATGGCAGGAGAGTAGCAAAAATGGTCTTAATGAAACTTCTCGATTTGTTATGTAACTACATTCTTTTAATCGATATGAGAAGCTATGTCGAACAGATTGGGTTTGTCCCAGACTTGTCTTCTAAGATTTAGAGTTGTCCTAAATTCTGAATTTTTTGTGATTACTCTTCATCATGAAGAGTTTACACTAGGACTACTTTTAAGACTACTCCTCGGTCTGGTAATGACGCTCTCACTGGTCACTCACTATTATGGGTGAAAACCCTGGCGAGTTTCCTGTTAACCTGCTCAACCGCGCAATGTCAAACGATAGAACCTTTTTATCGCGCAGTGATCTGTACACAAGCAAATGCTGCATGGCTCGGTAACCACTCGAAATGATGCCCACGTTAGCTCATGCGGGATATAATAGTACACTGGTGTAGAATATACAATGTCCTTGCCGGTTTCGTGTGCAAATACACCAGCCGTCCGTGGTTTCGCCAAACCTTAATTCAGGGTCTAATCTACGCATATCGATTAGAAATTCCATTTCTTCCGTATTTATTTAGGATATGTAGCGTAGAAAAAGCAGACGATGGCGTTGTGTATACAGCGAGCAGATGGATAGCAGCACAGAATGAAATCAGATACTAGCGATTCATGGGTAGCTATTTATAGCGCTCTCCATGCGACAATCTTCTTAGAATCACCCAATTATTCCTTTTATTCCCAATAGAATCACTATCATACAGGGTATGTATTATATGCAGCATTATATTTTATGCAATTTCGGCCCGTTATGAGAGAAACATGAATTTTGTGGCCCAAGGAAATGTTTCCCGAGATCGAGGTTCGATGGTAAGATGGAATTTCAAGGATGGATGATATCGATAGAATATTGACATCAGGCGATATTAGTGTTTATTACAAATTACAAATGCGGTATTTTCCGAAGCCATATAACACGTGAAATGGGTTATAACATGCAAATATGTGTACGCGTGCATGAGTGCGTGCGTGCGCGTGTGCGTGCGCGTGTGTGTGCGTATGTGTGTGTGAGGGCCTGCATACGTGCGTGTGTTTGTACGCGTGTGTAGAACATTGTAATACAAAATTAGTTCAATTCATTGCTGCTGGTCTGTGCACGTTGACAATTCTACACACATATCTGGCTAGCTTTTTCTAATGGAAACAGCCATGGTAATGAGCATAATTATTCCACACACGTATTTCCCGTGTATATGTCAGATGCTATAGTTAGACGAAGATCTACTTCGTCATACTAGGTACCCTTGTCTTTCGTACTCGAAAAACGACCTAAAGTGTTCCTACGCAACTGACCCTTTCTCAGGGAAATAAGACGAAAAAATCCTTACGGTATGAACTCATGAACATGAAACAGATTGAAAGATTACAGGTACTAGTGTCGAAGTACGAAGTGGCATCGCATCGGAAATAACCATAGTCAGGGATCATCAGATGATAACATGGAGTAGAAGCGCATTTATATACTCAATTAGATGATGCTATGCATGACAGCTGTTTCCCAAAGCAGCCTCGATAACATTAATGTGTAGAACAATTTCATGGGTTCAAACAAGAAAGTTTAGTAACAATTTAGTATTCACTGTTATGGGCACTTGCGTAATTTAAATTAGATAAAAAACTTTTCGGTCGTGGGCAAACGCGAAACGTTTTTTAAACACTCGTTGTCGTTAATCTGGACATAGAGCACGTAACGTGTGTAATACAGACACAGAGCACGTAACGTGTCGTAATACAGACACAGAGCACGTAACGTATCGTAATACAGACGCAGCACGTAACGTGCCGTAATCCAGACACAGAGCACGTAACGTGCGTAATACAGACACAGAGCACGGGCTAACGTGTCGTAATACAGACACAGAGCACTGTAACGTTGGCCGTAATCGCAGACACAGTGAGACCGTAACCTGCCGTATACAGACACGAGCACGTAAGTGTTCGTAATTACAGACACTGCACGTCAACGGTGCTGATTAATCCAGACAAGAGACATAACGTTTACCGTCACATACGAGACACAGAAGCGCATGTAACGTGTCGTAATTACAGACACAGAGCACGTAAACGTGTCGTAACCTACAGAACACAGAGCGCGTAACCGTACCGTAATACAGACACAGAGCGATGTAACGTGCGTAATACAGACACAGAGCAGCGTACGACGTAAAGCAGAAGACAGAGCACGTAACGTGCCGTAACTCCAGACACGAGGCAGCCACGTAAAACGTGCCGGTTATATACAGACACAGACACGGTAACGTTGTCCGTAATACAGACACAGAGCATTGATAACGCCGTAATACAACACACAGAGCACGTAAACGTGCAGGTAATACCAGACACAGAGCGTAACGTGCCGTGAATACAGACACAGAGCACGTAATCGTGCCCGTATACAGAGTTACCAGCAGCAATAACGTGGTCGTAAATACAGACACAGAGCACCGTAACGTGTCGTAATACAGACACAGAAGCACGATAACGTCTCGTGACCTTAGAGATATCACGTGGAGCGTTGTCCGCGAGGCCTAGGAGAGGATCTTCGTAACGTCGTCGTACCTTTAGGAGAGGTCACATGGACCGTTCCTTGATCTTAGAGAGATTCAGTAACGTGTCGCCTGAGCCTAGAGAGATTCACGTAACGTGTCAGCTGACCTAGAGAGATCACTGTAACGTGTTCGACCTAGAAGAATCCTTATCGTCTGGTGCGTGACCTAGAGGATCACGTTAACCGTGGCCGTACCGTAGAGAGATGCACGTAACGTATCAGTGACATAGGCATAGATCATGTAACGCCACCCCCCCAACCCCCTCCTATCGTGACATAGCATAGGATCACGTAACGTGTCGTGACGATAGCATAGATCATGTAACGTAATCGTGACATAGATAGATCACTGTAACGTATCGTACCTAGAGCGACTCACGTGACCGTGTCGTTGAGCCTAGCAGCGATCACGTGACGTGTCGATGAAACATAGAGATGCGATCACGTGACGTGTGTCGTGACCTTAGAGCGATCACGTGACGTGTCGGTGAACCTAGAGGCCATCACGTTGACGTGTCCGTTGACCTAGAAGCGATCACGTTGACGTGTCCGTGACCTAGAGCGATCACGTTTGACGTTGCGTTGGACCTCGAATGACTAATTAAACGCTACTTGTGTGTTCTGTTTCAAGGCTCTGAATATGATTTGTTTCGTGCCCGGTAATAGTGCCTGCGTTTTCTCGGTTTCCGGGTAGAGCGCAAGTATTAGCGAACGCGATAAGACTTTCCGATTCAGGCCACTCCAGGTTCTGGAACGCCTTAAATGGTCACTTCGTAGGGCGTCTATTAATATCATAAAATCCTCTCAACTCGTTACGGTGGTGTATGTGGGCGCTTATCATTTATATGACGAAGGGCCTATTCTGTTAGAGTAAACGCCTATTAGA